CATAAATGCCTGGGGCGGTAAATAGAGCTGGGAAGGACAAACGCACCTTGCATGCTTAACCAGATAATCCACAATCTTGTCCAGGGTTTTATTCAGCAGGGCTATACGTATCCACTGGTAGTTGCCATCCCCACTCCGTTGGTTGCGAAGTGCACGTGCACGGGAGCTGAAACACGGGAAGGGAAGATGGAAAAAGGTAGCGTAAACTGCATAATTCGATCCGAAACAAAGATGAGAGAGAGTAAATAAAACAGAATCCAAAAGATCAAGCAAATGAAATTCTTGTTCTAGCGATCGCATCTGCTACTTCTGAGTAAATAAAACATTACATCAACCGAAGAAAATAGGGGCAAACTTAACTCTCTGTCTACAGGGGCAACAGTGAACATTTTTCCTGAACACAGCATGCGATTCACATGGCTTCGTCTCTACATATTTCACTTGCTGATGTAGTATTTTTTTCTTTCCTGATATGGCAAAAGTAGTTTAAGCAGTGGACCTCATATACTCCTAGCCCCTGTATTCTGTCTTGTGGAGCGAGTGTTATTAGGAGTTTCGTGGGTGGAGAAATAGGATAGGCAGCGAAGGAAAGTTGTAAAACTGACTGCATAGTGGTAAAACACATTCGTTTTGCGGTTTTAACCAGTACGGCATCGACGACGCAGAATACTGGAATATACTCTAATAACTACTATAAACAATTTAGCTATAAATCCCACCGGTTCCGAAACCTGTTCAAAGTTTACGTCTGGTTGTTTATTTAACTACCATTTATTTATTAAATGCTGCCTTTTGCTTACTTTTTTCGATTAACACGCTCTAATCTGTGGCTATAGAGCGGTCGTGGTGAACAACTTCAAGCACATTTTACCATTCTACACTTACTTCTACAAATTTCCATCAGTGCCTATCATATTTCCCCACCCATAAAAGTTCTGATAACGCCGGTCCCATAGGAGAGATTGCTGGGGCTTGGAGTATATAAGGTCCACAACTTAAACTACATTTGCCATTGATTAAGTCGTACATGTACGTGTAGTTTTTCGTTGATTCATGCTATTATTCTCCTTTGCGAAATTTATAATAGGTTCTTTCGTGATTTGAGCAGACTGGCTTTCTGATCGCGGTCTAATGGATCAATTTTTAATTTGCTCAGACTTCTGTTTTTAGTATTGTA